TTGAATTCTTTTTCATTTTCATCACACACATCAATGATCTGTAGAATGTTGTGATTTGCACTGAGCTGAAGGGCACCAATGTTTAGCTGTATGTATTCCTTGAGGAAATCTTCTGCCAACTTTCTGACATCTTTGGGCCAGGTTGCACTCCACATCAAGGTCTGTCTGTCTGGCTACAATTAAAATGTAAATTTGTAACACCTTTAAACTTCTTTAACTCTGACTCTGGGTCCTCTCTTCCCAATATTATTTTCTAAAACTTACTCTAATTTGTTCCACGATTTTTCTGATCTGAGGCTCAAACCCCATATCCAGCATTCTGTCTGCTTCATCCATCACCAGATAAGTACATCTTCTGAGGTTTGTTTTTCCTGCCTCCAGGAAGTCAATCAATCTTCCAGGTGTGGCAATGCAGATTTCTGCTCCTGTAAACAACAAGAGAGAAGACTTGAAAATTAATCATCCCATGTTAGTGAAAATTTTCTTTCAAAACTATATCTCTAAAAGTTTAGTGCCAAACAAATGAATTACCTCTCTCCAAATCTCTGATTTGTGGTCCCTTTGGGGCACCACCATAAACACAAACATTCCTGATTCTAGAGGCATGACCAAACTCGTTGGCAACTTCCTGTACTTGTTGAGCAAGTTCTCTGGTAGGAACCAACACAAGAACCTGCAAAAATTTCAATAATTAATGAACTTGAAAACATGTACAATTCTTTTATGTAAGTTTATTTCTCTGACAGCTAAAATAATGTAGTATTGTGGTCACATTCAAGTACTTACAATTGGCCCATCATGAGGTTGTAGATGAGGCTGATTGTTTATGTGGACAATTGATGGCAGTATGAACTACAATAAAGAAAGAAATGCTTTACTAAATATGAAATGAAATTAATTTTATCTTCGAATTAAATGTAACTTTTATTTAATTTTCTCTTTCATGTAAGGTCAGATTTGAGTTCAGTGACTATATTTAATTGACTTCATGCACTTTATGTATTAAACATTATAATTGTTCTCTATATCAAGGAATTTTTTAGAAAAAATAAAACTAAAGTTACAAAATGAAATTCAAGTCAAATTTATCAATTTAAGTTTTGTCCTTGAAGAATCCATCTCAGAGTTCACACTTTGGCTTAACACGAGCATTTAAACTTCCACAACTGGCAATGATGATGAAATATAATATACTACATCAAAGTAGGAAAATGGTAACAATATTTGTGTGATCCATTTCATTAGATGAAGCATGCAGGAAGTGAACACCAACTCCAGTGCCTGGACAGAAACTTACCCCCGCAGTCTTCCCAGACCCAGTCTGGGCTATCCCCACCACATCTCTTCCTGACATAGCTACAGGCCAACTTACAGTCTGGATACATGTTGGCCTTGTCCATCCCAAACGCCGAAATGTGGACATCACATAATCTACATATACATGTAAGCCTAATATATCATAAATGTTTGATTAATGGCTTGACCACACTTGTGTATACTGAACCAACACATCAGAATTTCAGTGGTACTTTCAGTAAAGATACCCTTTCCAAAATTCCCAAATCACTCAACTTTACATTTTTTACACAAAATATTGAAGTACACACAACTTCTCTGATGTGTAAGAAACATGATACAGCAAGCCGTGACCTTGAGCCCCTTTTTGTCCATGGCTGACTGCACACTTACCCCTGCAGTTTTACCAGAGCCAGTCTGGGCAATGCCAACACAATCCCTTCCTGACAGTGCAACAGGCCAACTGACAGTTTGGATCGGTGTAGGACATGACCAGTTCTGTCTTCTAATAGAGGACATCACATACTCTAAACAGATTAAGTCACATTAAAAAAAAGCGATGGAAAATCTTAACTTCAGTTGTATGTGTCAAAATAATTTATCATTAAAATACCTCCAGGAGATTCTCTGCTGAAAAACAATTTATGACTGTGGAATTAAAATCTACTTTCCCCCTTTTTAAATTATTCTTTACCTGGGAATCCTCCTTCATCAAATGTGAAAATTGGTTTCGGAATATCTGATCCCTTGACTGTGACTTCATGTTCATTGTAAAATTGTTCGATTTCCATCTGCAATAAAAAATTATCATCTCTTGCTCCTAATATGTTTTTAATATGACCTCTCTTTTTTTATTTTATGATTTTTTTCTTCTTACAAATTCAACACATAATAGAAAATTTTGAATACTGACCTGTGATCTGCTGGATACATTTGGATGTTCCACATAGAAATTCTTCTCAAACTTTGGCAGCCTTGACAAGTCCCACCTTGGCTTGCGTAGATTTTCTCCTGGCTGATGACCTTTACCCATTTTGCCTCCTCGCATTCCACCTCGGTCCATTCCAAATCTCCCTCCTCCCCCACTTCTAGGGCCTCCTCTATCTCCAAACTTTGATGAACCAAAGGCTTTTGGCAGGCCACCACCACCTCCAAATCTGAAAAGAGTCATTGCGATTACTACCTTGCTTTGTGAAATTGGAGTAATCAACTTTTTTTAGCCTGTGAGTTAGGATTGATTACAATGATTGTCAGGGAGTCAGACCAAAAATCAGGTTAGAAACATCACTGATGTGAATTATACCACTCCACAGTCTGTTTAAGAGCATACCTTCACTAGCTCCTTTTTATTTTGATTCACGCCACAATCAAAATAAAAATTAGCTAGTTAAGGTTTGGGGCGGGGAGATGTTTGATCAGATTTGAGCAGTAACGGTGCATGCTCCATATGCTTGATTGACATTAAAGGCCGAGGTTTTCAACCGTACGGTTTTCCTCAGGTAAGTTTGGTGTGGGGTGGAGCTTAATCGAAGCGGCTGAGAAGCCCTGAGGGAACGACGCTGGTTTGTGTATACTACCTATATACACAGGATGTTACCTGAGACCCTGAGTGTATTACCTGTATGTGTTTTCCTACGACTTTGTAAACCGAGGCCGTTTTTTTTTCATGTTTAGCTCATGAATTGAAATGCAAAATAAAGCATTTTTTGTTACAGACAGAATCCTTCTCTATTTCTCTCTTTTAAAATAATTAATATTTTTAATAATTCGAGATTTTTTTTTTACATACAGTATGTTTCTTAATGAAGTGTAACAACGAAAATACATTTAGCATCAAAATCTGTCGTTGTAATCTGGCGACAAAAAGGGAAGTAAATAATTCAAATTACACGTCGTCTACGCAAATCGAAAGAAGAAAGTGAATCATAAAACAGTCTCTACGTAAATGAGAATGAAACTTAGAATCGATGTTTTGAGAATAAAATGTTAAGTAGAAATATTATTGTCTAAATAAATATCTTTATAAGATAAACCCTACTTGATTTTTCCATAACGCATGATTGGGGTTGATTCCCCGACAGCTATGAAACTTGAAAAGAATCATCTGCATCTTTTTTTTCTTTCGGAATTCATTATTAATTTCAAACATTAAAAATCCAAAGCAAGATGTTATATTCCGAGTAATTTCTCTTCTAAAACTTATTATTATACCGTAACTTCGTCACTATGTCTCGAAGAAAAGTGACACATACAGCAAGTTTGTCTTATAAATATAAATTCGCTTGACTCATGAACAATGTTACAATGTTGTCATACTTGTTTTAAAAAATAATTTTATTTAATTCCATGATACTAGCTTCAAACGCAGGTCGGTTTATTTTGTTAATTAATGGAGGAATAAATGTACATTAACTCATGTTTTGACACGGAAATTAAAATTATCGATTGTAATCGTGATACGAAATCCTCCCTTTTATAATTAATTTTATAATATTTTTATATAGCCATGATTTTCTTGTCATTTATTTAATTATTTGATAGATTGATTATATTCATGGCATATTCTTATGAATTAAAAAAGAAAAGAACGATTTGATTGCTTCTTTATTACGTTGGCATACAGTGCGGTAGGCATCAAAAGTCTGAAAGTTAATTCGATGGTCGGTTCGATCTCCAGACAAGGTACACAAGATATACACAACAGCAGCAAACTAAATGTCAATCAAATCAAAGTATCCAATCCCAGGCTTAATTTCAGATGATTGACAGAGGTTCTAAAACCAGGTAAATTTGAAGGAGGTGCTTATTTCCTCCCCCTTTAATAACATGTACACAGCACAATCCTTTCATTATGGAAATGTAATTAAATGGGATAAAGCCAATAAGGTAATCTAGAATGATATGCGAATTGTTTGCCATTTCTTTTTTAAAAATTGTTTTAAAGTATTCATCCTGCGCAAACGCAGATCTAAGACGAGGAACATGTTTCTTAACAAGGACAATGGAAGTTTTAATGTAAATATTGAGTATTGAGTTTTTACATTAACTTCTAGTGTCACTGCCTGCGTTTCTTAACAAGTAGTCCTTGTAATCGACTAAACCAAGATTTGCCAATTCAAGTATTTTTTAATCCGCTTGTTTTCAACCCATATAAAATATAAACTTAAATTAATGTCTATTGAGAGTAATACTTCTCAATTTTTACAAATAAATACTCTAATTCTGACTCAACAAAAAGAAAATTATTCAAAATGGCCACGTTAAAAAGACTTCTTTGTCGATGCTAAATCGCTTCTCTGTTCTTTCACACTTTTTCTTCAAAGAAACCTTAACAACAAAACAATTTTTACCCTTTTCTGTCTGACCGCCCAGAAGAATCAAACATTCTGTCTCTGTATGACATTTTTGTTTTTTCGTAGAAAGATTCTTTTCGCCCTCAACCACGGACCAGAATATCACGATGCCGGAAATAGATATTAATGCGCATGACGTCATAAAAATACATTTTTTCAAAAGCAAAAATGAATATGTTTCTCAATAGATAAATGTAAAAAAAAATAAAAAATACAGTTTGTATTAAACATAAACATCGTAAACACATTCCTAATAACTCAGAGTAAATTGAAAATTTGCACTACATTTTACATCGGATGTCGATTAAAAATCTGAATTTCCGCTAGGTGGCTTCATATCTGTCATGTGACTGAAATAGTTGGTCAAAATGGCAGCAACAATAATTTTTGCTGTAGCTATTATACTTTTTACAGCATGGTTAATTAAAAGAGAATTGTCAAGGAAAAAGATTGACATAATCCCTGGTCCTGTAGCCTTGCCAGTTCTGGGAAATGCTCACCAGCTAAAACATACCAGCAGAGGTATTATCCTTACCATTTTTTGCTCTTCTTATTTTTTTTATTCAAGAAGACTATATATCACTAAGTATACAAGAAGACTCTAAGACTCTAAGTACTCTAAGATAATTATTCTGTGTTTCATTTTTTGAACTTGATCGGTCTTTCCAAACCACATGTAACAGGCAGGGAAAGGTGTTGGCCAGACTGGGATTCTAACCCTGGACCTCCCACTTACCGTGCAGCCAGGTGCTCTAACCACTGAGCTACTGGGTTGACATACCTATTCCCTGTTACACTCTTCAGCCCTTTTCCTTGAGGTTTTTCATCTTGACAACCTCGTCAAGACTTTTCTACACCACCAGTGGGTTTTATTGTTGGGCGCCAAATGTAGCAGGCGAGGAAAATGTCGGCCAGACTGGGACTCGAACCTGGGACCTCCCAGGGCTCGACATTAACACTTGTCCGCTTGTCCGGTACCAATGAAAAATAAATTCGGACAAGTGAATATTACTGGGCACTTGTCCGATTGGACAAGTGTATTTTAATGTAATGGGGTCTCTAAATAATAAAAAGAACGACTGTTGAAGTCTCAAGACGGAAGCTGTACATAAAATCCTAACTTCGATCCCGATATGTATCGCTATATTAATATTGTGTTCACAATCGATCGGGAGATAGTTCACTAATTGCATACTAAAATGAAAAGTCATGGAAGATACGAACCGAAGTGTGAATATTGTTTGATGTTGACAGGTTCACTTGTGGACATTTACGTTATTGTCAGGACAAAAAGCCTAAATTAAATTTTGTTTTATGTGTCTGTTGTACCGGTATTTATCAATAACATCAAGAATCAATCAAGCGCATGACGTGTAAATAAAATGGACTTAATTTTAATTTTCAAGTTGAAACTATTGAGCTTTATTGAAAATTTTTGGACAAGTGAAGTTGAGATTCGGACAAGTAAATGTATTGGTCACTTGTCCGAATGGACAAGTAGGAAAAAAAGTTAATGTCGAGCCCTGCCTCCCACTTAACATGCAGGTGCTCTAACCTCTGAGCTATCGGGACGACATACCCAATCCCTGTTACACACACATGACCATGATACATCTATACTCTCTGACCTCATTGGTCATTGTATATAAATTAAGTTTACCAATAAATTCCATGCCTGAACAGTGCTGATTTTAATGAAGAATGTTTTATTTACTGTTGTTAATCAGCAATATTTCCATGAAATTAGGGGGAGTTAATATTTTTGTTGAACTTTTGTTGTTATTCTCATGAAATCATAGGTAAACTAAGTGTAATCTCATTGAGATTCGTGAAGACTAAAATTTTGGATAGAAGTCTCTTCCCAGTCTCAAACCAGTCACACAAAATGACTCGGGAAATCTTGCCATACTTTGACAGCTTGTTTCGATCAATACACGAGGTCAGAGAAGAGACTGTCCGGTTCCAATTTTTGCCTTAGACATCCTTTTTAATCTCTATCACTATAAAACTTTTTTCCTATCCTTTTATTAGGTCACCTGAGTAAACTCAGGTGACCTATTGCTATCTGTTTTCGTCCGTCGTTGTGCGTCTTTCGTCGTGCTTTAACATTTGAACATTTTCAGGTTCAATTTCATGATCCCTGCCCCCCTGGGGCCTGAGGGGTAGGGCCAAAACCACTAAAATTAATGCAATCTTTAAAAATCTTCTTCTTTACTCCTGGACATCAAGCAGTCAAACTGTTTGCATGATTGTAATCAGCAATGAGTCCTCTACCAAAAATTGTGAAATTCATGGCCCTGGGGTCAGGGGTTCTAGTGCTAAGTTGGGGCTAAATAAGAAGTTAGTGAAAATGCATTATTTCTTTGAAAATCTTCTTCTCTGCTCCTGGGTATTAAATAAACCAACTAAGTACATAGTTATGATGAGCAAGAGTGCCTCTACCAAAATTGTGAATTTTATGGCCCCAGGGTCAGGGGTTCTGGTGTTAGGGCGGGGCTCTATTGATTATATAGTGAAAATACATGAATTCTTTGAAAATCTTCTTCTCTGCTCCTGGGTATTAAATAAACTAATTAAGTACATAGTTATGATAAGCAAGAGTGCCTCTACCAAAATTGTGAATTTTATGGCCCCAAGGTCAGGGGTTCTTGTTTTAGGGTGGGGCTCTAATGATTATATAGTGAAATGCATGAATTCTTTGAACATCTTATCCTTTGCACCTGGTTAATATGCTAATGATCTAATTACATATTTAAGGCCAGGATTTATTTTATTTTCAGTTTTACAAACCCTCCGCTCAAGGTTTTGAATTTTCAGAAAAAAATAAAACAATTTTTTTCTTTCCGATGTCAAATTTGAGTCGGGATCGAGATTTCAAATTTACGAACTCGCACTTCCGGTTTTACGATGAAACGGTGGGTAAATATAGCTAGATTTGAGAAGATATCTTGGTTTAGTGTAAAATTCATCGATTAGAGTTTCAAAACGTTTCACCCGTTCAAAGGACAAATAAAATGCTGACGACTTTGTTGCACAATGACATGCTGGTGAGATAATTATGTATTCGTTTCAAAAGTAACTGTAAATTATTTTCCTCCCCCAGGTTTTAAACTGCCCGTGGTAGCTATTGCATATTGCCAGGGACATTGTTTAGGTCTCTCTTATAGCTTACAGTCTAAGCACCATTCTTCAGAAAAGGGTTGCTTATGCATCAGATGTAATGAATAAAACTATGCGAGAAGTGAAGTCCATTTGAGGAAGAAATAAACAATAACCTGAAGAAATAAAAAAAAATTTCAACTATTAAAAGGCAAGAATATACAAATATATACAGGCATGTAGTATCATTTGTATCAGCCAGAAGAATTATTTTACACTTAATTGAAAAAATGTTGACCCTACTCCCCAATACTCCCTGTCTGTTTTATGATAGGAATTATAATTTTAGGCATCAAGTAAATTTTAGAACAATGTCTACACATTCACCTAACACATATTAAAAAAATGAAGATATATTGAAAGACTTTTAAAGAATTGATTTTTTAAAATATATTTTGATCAACATCACAAAATTTATATAACTGGCCCAAACTGACAGATGATGAAATAAGCAATTAAATGTTCTACTTTCCTATTTGTAAGCATTATGTTTCCAGTGGTAAGGAGCCTATTAGGATAGCATAAAAAAAGAATGTACAAATGTTAATAATTTATTTATTAAAAAAATTTTTTTATTTCCTTCTCCTTCGGGACTTTTTTATTCTCATGTTCATAACTAAACCTAAACATAAAAAAAAAATGCTGGCCTTATAGTGAAGAAAGGGGCCTCTTTCAAAATAGATAATTTCAGGGCTGCTGGGTCAGGGGTACCAGGGGGGTACTTTGACTAATAAAATAAATTAATGCTTTGAAATCTGCCCTTTGATAAGCAATGGTGCCTCTTTCAAAATTTGTGAATTTCATGGCTTTTGGCTTAAAACACGAACCAAATACAATCGCTGGAAAGTTGTTACATGATACTCAGGTGACCTATAAGGCCCGTTGGCCTCTTGTTATAATAAAGGATTATTATAATGATTAAAGGATTAAAGCCAACCAAAATCAAGTTGTGATTTTTCATAGCACTGACATTAATTCATTCACCTCTAATCTCAAATAGTCTGCTTCAAATACTTCGTTCCACTATGATTTCCTATAGAAATGAACCATCTCTGAGGTTAAACTAATTGATGCATTGTTGGTCAAGAGTACACAGAAAAAATTCTTTTGAATGAATGTGCAGTAGTCTGAATTATCCTTCTGCCCAGGCGGTTTTGTTAGAGCTCTCAATGCACTTGATAAGATAATATATATTTCATTTATATGTGCGATGGGCGAGAAATATTCATTTTTGTATGTGAACTCTTAACACCTTCTCTAATTTCGTTGTACATTCTGCTTAAGATGTTTCACTTTTTAGTAAACTCCTTTAGTGTGTGTGTTTATATAATTCTATATGAAAGTTCATCCTTATAAAAACAGTATTGTTGCAGAATAATTGATGCACTATAAATTATATCATTGTGCAAGTTGTAATAGTTTAGGTGAGGTCTAGACAGACCATAAAAGTTTGTAGATCTTTACTAAACTACTAATTAAAGGAGTTCAGTTAGAACATTATAAAAGAGAAAAAAATGAATCTTTGAATAAGATCACATTTCATGTTAGAAAATAACAGATTTAAATTTGGACTTTGAGTTCAAGGTCATTTTTTTTTTAATATTTGAAAAGTACACCAAGTTTTTCTTAAAATTACAGCAATCTACAAAATTGAGGAAAGGTGCAGTCCTACTATATGTCTATGTAATCATTTGTTTTTAACAGAATTTTTTGACCAGCTGACTCAGTTCACAGCTGAATATGCAGATTATGGAATATTTCGGCTGCTGTTGGGAACAAAGCTAACAGTTGCTCTGTACAAGCCAGAGTATGTGGAGGTGTGTTAATTATTACTACTACAACCACAGAGTGCAATTTCACATCAATAGCTTCACTGCCATGTTTTAAAGATTATTGTTCATTGTTAATGATTTCTTGTAAATTATAATATTTTATAATATGATTAAAAATTACTTTTATATATTTATTATTTAATAAGGAAAAAACTGGCATTGATGCTTATGATGTTAAATAGGACACTTGTGGTCATATTTCATTGCAGTCAGCAGCAGGGAATTTAGAAAAAAAGAAACATGAAGCAAGGGGTTAGCCTATAAGTTTAATGCTTAAGATTGTAATACAGAAGTGCTGATAAAGTATTGTTGATTTCAGGCTTTTATGATCAGATGGAGGGGTTTATGAAGCTATACGAGGCTAAGGGAATATTTCGACTTTGGCTCGGATTTATAGGATTGATCGTAGTTTACAAACCAGAGTATGCTGAGGTTTGTTTTCACCTCTATCGTTTAAAAATCTATTCATTCCTGGTTAAGGCAGTAACTTTCTGCATATTTTTCATACTGATCTTTCTTTTTTATGATAATTTCTTAAATTTCTTTTAAATAAATTTGATATATTTTTTTTTTCAAGATATTTAATTATTAAAGAGTAAAGAAAAATTCCCTTACCTTGTTTGAAAAAAATTGGAAAGAAGTTAAAAAAATAATATTGGTACATACAGATGTATACCGGGTATTTATATTTATTTTATCTTTAAGTGCAGTTTGAATACTTATAAATGTGCCATGGAAGAAAAATGTTTATCAATACTTTCTATATTAGACTGAAAGTTAACTTAGAATAAAAGACAATTGAAAGTTGTAAAAAAAAAGCCTGAACATTTTCTTTAGATGTGTTTCACAGGCACCTGACATTATTTATTTTTCTTTTAATAAAAAGATATATATATACCTACCTAATAATAAACTTTTATTATTAGGTAGGGGTATATTTATTTTAGAAAAATAAAAATAAGTAAGATTACTTGCCTTTGATGCATTTGTACCTATTTTCTTTTTTGATAAATAGTTTTTGATCTCTTTTATTCAAACATTTGTTTTATTTTATACACATATTTAGATAAGATGTTTTGCTTTTTTTCCCTAATAATGATCACAAGAATGTTATTTTCTCTTTATCATATTTTTTAAAAAGCTAGTACATGTACTTCAGTATCTAATAAATCGAGAAACTTTAAGGGACATTGCTGGGAACATGATAATGATTAAAGAATGTACAACTTCAACCTTAAAAACTAAATAATGATTTAAGGTTCATTGACAATTTGATAAGAGAGATAACTCTTATTGGTATAGATCTTTATTCTTTTTATAAATTTGTCCTGTTAAAATGTCTTTATATGTCCAGTTTTTGCTTGACAAGCTATATGAATTTGTTTGCATTTTTCTTATAAAATTCATTTCTTTTGGAAAAACATTGGCATGAAACAATGTTAAAGTAACATTTTATATGAGAGGAATTATGAGCCTTAAACTTTGTTTTGAAATAAAACACCTACTTAATACATGCTTTAGGTTCTTTTTGGTTCTTGCTCCAAGTAAATTAAAAAAAATTGCTGGAGACTGACATTAAGTTAAAAATGTGGCTTAATATTAAGTATTATTTCAGGTGATCCTTCAGAGCAGTAAACACTTGGATAAAGCGGACGAGTACAGATTCCTTCATCCCTGGCTAGGCACTGGACTTCTAACCAGGTCAGTCAAAGGGAAATCAGTCATAAAATGACATCTTTTTACAAGAGGTATATGGAGTTTCCAAAATGCAGATAAAAAAACTGAATACGCTGAACCCTGTGATTTTTCTTTAGAACAAGACACTTTTGAATTGATAGAGCAAGCTAAATTTAAAGACAATGGATAGAGACAAAGAATAAAAAGACAGAACTACTCTTTTCAAACAAGATACGTACAGACACCATTGGGTGTATTAAACAGAATTCATTCAAGACAGTAACATTCAGACAGAGCAGTAAATACATGTATAGTGAAGGGAGGAGCATTTTCATTATTAGATAAGTCATATTTGGTTTTGGATTCAAACCAAGATCCACCTTACCTGTATCAGTATAAAGGATTCCTTAACTTCAGACATGTTGAAACAATGAAATCATATTTCTTACTAAATCAGTGCTTCTGAATATTGTTGTATCGGACCTACATAATAATATTCTATAGACTTGGTTGGTCTGCTTTCATTTACATTAATTATATTCTCCAAAAATTTATATAAAAATATAAAGTACCCATTACATAATGATATCAAATACCAAAGCAAACAACTCTGCAATTGTGATAAACTGAGAAATTCATTAACTGTTACATGTCATCCAATATTTCAGAAAGGATAAGTGTTTTTAAATCTGTATTATCATACCATTCTCAATTTGTGATATATTGTAGCACTGGTAGTAAATGGAAATCTCGGAGGAGGATGCTGACACCCACATTTCATTTTAAGATTCTGAATGACTTTGTGGGGGTGTTCCATGACCAAGCCTCCATTATGGTAAAGAAACTATCTGAGGTGGCTGATGGAAGAGAGTTCAACATCTTCAATTACATCACCTTCTGTGCACTGGATATCATTTGTGGTATTTTGATATTCTTATCATCTCTTATCTTCCTCCTCGGGATATTTAGTTTTGATTTAATGATATTATTACAAACTAAAGTTAAGTACAATTCATGCTCCTATATCTAATTTTCATTCAAAAGTAAAAGGTTTATAAACTTGAAATACTTTAATGCATTATACCAATGGATTCTTCAGTAAAATATTCTGTATATTAATAAAGCTTGTCTTTGACAGAGACTGCGATGGGAAGGACTGTTGATGCTCAGAGTAACAGCGAGTCAGACTATGTCAAGTCTGTCTACAAGTAAGTATTAGCATGAATTATAATCACCATGCCTGCCTGTCTGTCCATCTGTCTGTAGACTGATTTTTTCAGAGTTTATCTCTGAAACTAATGAATATTTTACGTCAAACTTTGTAGTAGTAATAATACATACCATTTGAACTTGTGCACATAGTATTTTCAGATTGATGTTAAAATTTAAAAAAGAAAAAAGTAATGAATATTTTAAGAGTTAATTTTTCTATCTAGACATTACTTTGAAACCTAGAAGCTTATGAAGCTCATACATGATACAAAGGTAGCTTAATACCAAAAGTTTGTCAACTCTCTATCAAGGTCATTTTGGAAAAGGTCTTGGTCGATGAGCTTATCATATACCTTAACATTTGAGTATATATACTAGCTCAAACTCATTGTAATCAGCCTTAAGATATATCTGTTGTTTATTTTAACAGGATGACTGAGCTTGTCCTACAGAGACAGCGGACACCTTGGTACTGGCCTGACTTCCTGTATAACACGATAGGATACGGAAAGGAACATGATAAATGTCTTCAGATTCTTCATGGATTCACTAAAAAGGTGGCTTTACATATGTATTATCTGTGTAATGTATTTACTTATGTGATACTACATATAGATAATCTGTTATTTTATATTTAGTTATGTATGGTAATGTATGATTTTAAAACCTCTTTTGAATCATACAATTTGATAACATCTATGGAATTTTGAAAGCACTTTGAGGAATCTGAGCTACTTTTATCCTTAGTTTATTTTTTTCTGTTGTGACTGAAGGTAATCAAGGAGAAGATGGAGAGTCAGTCGGACGAGTCGCGACACAGTATGGAGGAAGTGCTGAGTCAGCACTCGGAGGAGGACATGTACAGGAGCAAAGGTCAGAGGTTAGCGTTCCTCGACATGTTGCTGTGTAAGACGGAGGACGGCTCACACATGTCAATGGAGGACATCAGGGAGGAAGTTGATACGTTCATGTTTGAGGTGAATTTTAAATATAAATTTCATAAACTGAAAATATCAGAACGTCAGTTCTGACTTTTGAACAAGACTACAGAGTATATTGTTCCACATGCATTTATTATTACAATTAATTCATGTACAATATAACTAATTTGTTGTAAATTGTAATAATGTGGTCCTCTTACACAGCAACAGTATACCAATAAATTTAAATATATATATATATACCCAAGATTGAAAAATTACATTGCATTTCATAATTATGTAAAAGAACCATCTTCCAAAGTAATGTCATGTTTTTTCCGTATAAATTGAAAAAAATCTTCAGAAATTCTCCTTATGGTATTTGTTTTGATGAATAACAGGGGCATGATACAACAGCAGCTGCCATGAACTGGGCTGTCCACTTGATTGGTGCAGATCCCCAGGTCCAGGCCAAAGTCCACGAGGAATTAGACCAGTTGTTTGGCGAGTTTAATTTAGAAAACAATTCTCTCTCTCTCCTGGACCCCTCTTAATATAAATATAACATTTTCATATTAAATGAGTTTATTGTAATGAGTTGTGATAATCATATTTATGAAAAAAAAATTATATACTATAGGGGATAGTGACAGGCCGGCTACAATGAATGATCTGAAAGAGATGAGATACCTGGAATGCTGCATAAAGGTAAGATGCTACAGGGTTTGTCAGGTAAACCCAAAGCAAATGTTATATGAAGTATGAAGGAATTAAGGTAGTAAATTCTGATAAATCTGGAATGCGGTATTCAGGGCCTGTCCACACCGCAGTGTTGACTCAAACATTCTATGTGTCCTATGTAATTATAAGAGAAAGTACTGATAAAGCTATGGTAGACCAATCCCTACTGATAAAGGTATGGTAGACTCAGAAGTTCTGATAAAGCTGTGGTAGATTGAACCATACCGTGAAAACAATGGTAGACTGAACTAACTGCTAAAGCTGTGGTAGACTAAACAGTAATTATAAAGCTGTAGTAGATGGATTACTACTGATAAAGATATGGTAGACCAATCAGTTTTAATAAAGCTATGGTAGACAGGGTAGCAATGATATACATATCCATTGTCACAAGCACCACATTTTTTTATCCATTACAGGAGGCTTTAAGACTGTTCCCTTCTGTGCCATTCTTTGGTAGAAAATTAACAGAGGATTGTCGATTTGGTGAGAGAAGTTTTATAGACCTATATTCATATACCGGGATACTCAGTAACTCTGTATATTGTGTTATTATTCAATACCCGATATTTGGTTCAAATATAGGCTATGTGTAATTGTTATATTCATTGAATATAGTTTTATGTATTAACACTTATAATCACAACAGATTTTGTATCCTGTGTAATTACGTATATTGAGAGTGTAATATTTCTGTTCATAAAGATGGTATATTTGATCATGTGAAAATATTTTTCTTTCAAACTTTGAAAATGCAAAATTTAGGCTCCTTAATTAGAAAAAGTAATGCATTTTCATCTCAACTTGCAAAATTAGCTTTTGAAAAAAAAAACAACCAACAAACAATTGTATAATATGTTAGCATTTAATGGACTCCATTGTTTTTAGATGAATACGAAATTCCCAAGGGTACCACTGTGATCATTACACCGCCTGGGTTACACCGAGACACACGATACTTCCCTGACCCAGAGAAATTTGATCCTGACCGATTTTCACCAGAAAACAGCCTCAAACGACACCCATATTCTTACGTTCCATTTTCAGCTGGACCAAGAAACTGCATTGGTAGGTTGGATTGAAACAAACAAAAGATCATTTGTCTTTGTCGTATTTTTTTAACATGGCAAACATTCATGGAAAATACTCTGACTATGGATTTCGTTACTTTAAGATCATTGAGAATATAAATGCTGGAATTTAAAGTTTTATCAGTATTACAGAGTACTATTTAATAGATTTCTAAAACAATTATTTAGGTACATTTCTATTTTACCAGGTCTTTCTTTTTTTCAATATGTGTATGCTGTACAATGTTTTCTTATCTCTGCGTATCTAAATAGTACCATTAATTTCTGTAATTTATGTAAAGGTCAAAAGTTTGCCCTCCTGGAGGAGAAAGTGATGCTCTCCAACATCTTCAGAAATTTCAGTGTAACCTCCAAACAGACCAGAGAGGAGCTGCTCCCCATCGGGGATCTCATAATGAGGCCTGAACATGGGATCTTCGTGGAAATACGCCCCCGCAAAAAGTAACCGTCCATGATAAAACTGTGATGGTCTGATTCGAAGTTTTGATTTTTGTTAAATATTTAGTCTGAGAAAAAATTATTTCCACTTAAGATGAATGCAGATTTTACACATATATTACAGTATTAGCGCTTTTGACATTTCGATCATAGTGCATATCTTGCCTTTTCAAGTACATACATGTATCTTTATACCTCAATTCACCTTATGTTATTGGTCAATCAAGACAGTTCTCTGTCATGAGATCAGGAAATCCAAGAAACCTCATCACTTTAAATGTACATGTACTTTTTAGTTAGAAATTAGGTTTTTAGGTTTGTAATTATAATATCGGTACTTTACATATATTCATATGTACAATGTAATAAGATTAGTTTGTTAATTACCCTTCATTATATGTATATGTATATACATATAATTAATGATTAATATGATAATTCATTATATGTATATGTATACATGTATATATATAATTTATATTTTTTATGTTTGGATTTTATGTTTTTTAGAATGGAATGCAAATTATTCTCTGTTTACCAGTACATATTTGTGTTGTGTATTTGTTTTGTTTGTTTGTACACTTGGGATTGTTCTGTGTTTTAGCTCACCTGATGAAAGTTCAATTGAGCTTTTCTGATCAAAGTCTGGCAATTGTCAGTTGTTGTCAACTTAACATTTCTGACTTCTTCTCAAACACCAGAGACATTTTCAAGTTAACTTTCCACAAAGAATCTTTGAGTGAGGAGAGGGAATTCACAATTATTCGTAATGGATTTCATTTTGACTTGGCAGTTTATTGGAAATAAATCAGAAGGTATCTTGTCTGAGTATTCTCAAGGACAACATGGTATCAATATGCAAACATCATGTTGTGAAGTTTGCTCAGATTATGACCAATTTGATTAATAGGGGCCTCAGTCTGTAACTAAAGAACTTAGGATTAATATGATAATACAAGTACCTTGGTACATACTGTATTTGTGTAATAGGATTTTTGAAAATAAATCTCTAAAAGGAATTAAGAATGAAGACTTCTTTTAGTTAATGCAATACCAGCATCCCCTTATAGTAAAAATTCAAATATGGTGAAGTCAGTGCATCTAGGGCAAGACTTGGCCATAGTGTCAATTAGAATCAAAGTTTTTACAGGAATAAATAGAAAAATATAAAAATATCAAGTGACTGTTGATTTCTCTGTCTGTTTAAGAAGTATTCCTTTAATGTCAGTTGTCTCACAATTGTATTTACTTGTATAATTCTTTCTACTTTTGACAACATGGTAATTATAATATGCTAGTCATAATCATTGTACATGTATAAGTAATATGTATTCTAAGGAAACTTCAGAAATGATTTCTTTAATTTTGTATTTATGGTGAATCAGTATTAAAGTAATGTATTAGAGGATACATACAATGTAGCGTAATATTTTGATACTGGGATATGTTGAACCAGGGTTCATAATATTCCATGGCACATTTAGTATCAGGCTTGTCGTATTACAGCATTCAATTTTGATCAATGTTTACGTTTGATAACCATATTCAATAATAGATTCTTAATCAAAATAATAATATACCTCCAAGAAATGGCAATTTCTTTTTTGTTTTGGGGGTAATAATTTAGATTATGGTGAATTGATGTGAACACCAGTCACTTCTGATGTACCTGTAATTACACTTTTTTAGCAGCATATTTTTTGTCCCCCACTGTTGCAAAAATGAGGTCACGTTAAATCTCATTGGTCTGCCAGTCTGTTACAAAATCTTTAACCTGGGTCATAAATTTTGATTGAGAAGAGATAAGACTTTCATATGCTACATGTATACTACCTTTTACAAGGCTTTTCCAGTTATACTGTGGTATTTGACCCCATGACCTTTACCTTGAAATTTTGAAAAAAAATTAACATTATTTTAGATTGGTCAATACTTTTGAAAGAGAAAAGATGTGGCTTTTATACTGTATACAGGGTTATTTTCGCCCCGTTTTATTTTCGCCCTTTTGCACTTGCGAACAATTTTGCCCCGTTTTAAATTCGTTCTGTTTAAGAAATTATGCTACATGTGCTATGCAATTTGAATTCACCCCATTTTAAATTCATCCACTCAAGAAGAGGGTGAAAGGGGCGAAAATAAAACGGGGTGAAAATTTCCCTGTGTACAGTATTAAACGTAAACAAGCAAATTCAAGAATTGTGATCCCCCGCTTTTGGTGTCCTTTGGGTGAGATGTCATTATGTATGGCATACTGTGTTAAATATAAACACCCCATGATACATGTATGTCATTCATTCAAAAGTTATCACCAAAGTTGATTTTCATGCCTCCCTTTGAAGAAGGGAGGGCATATTGCTTTGCTGCTGTTCGTCGGTGACTCAGTCTTCGGTCCAAAATCAGTTTCCGTTCATTTTCTTCACAGAGGTTGCACATATTGAAATGAAATTTGATCTACACACATAACAAAAGAATATTTAGGTCAAGATTTGAAATAGGTATGATCAAGCCATTTTGGACAGAGTAATGCCCCTTGTACTTCAATTCCATCATATGAAGGATATAAGCATGTTCTAAATTTGTTTCACAGATTGATTTCAATTATTGAATCACTGAAATGGGTATAAAATTATTTTGGTAAAAATGATGAAAAATATGGTCAGGCAGGCACTATCACAATGGGTCTCAGTGATCATGATCTAATTTTTTGCACAAGAAAAATTTCTAAAGGTCAAATTAAAGAACATAACACGGTGAAGTTTGCAGAAACATTTTGATTCTGCTCTTTTGTTGAAGAACTAGAATAGGTAGACTGGACATCTTGTATATCATCTGATTGTGTTGATTCAAACTGGAATGCATTCAAGGAAGTATTTTTGAATATTGTTAATAGATTTGCACCTGTAAAACAAGTGAGATTAAAACAGAGAACAGAACCTTGGATGAATCATGAAATCTTAGAACTTATAAATGAGAGAGATAGGCTTTTGAACATTTCTAGAAAAAGCAAAAAAGATGAAGATCAGAAAAATTTTTCAAGGGTTAGAAATTTGGTTCAAAGAAAGATTAAAAAGGCACATATGTAACAGAAAAATTTGAAGAAAATAAGGATTTATCATAAAAAACTTTGGGAACATTTGAAAGATTTAGTTATAGAAATCAAAAGAAAGAAGAGAAAAAAATTGTTTTAAATATTAATGATGATATTAGTCATGATGACATGGATATTGCTAATCAAATAATTATTTGCATCAAAATTGGAGGAAGTGTTTTACTGCAAAGGGCACATACAATGTTTTGTCAAATCATTTTAGAGGTTTTTATTCAAACAGAAATTTGTACAACAATTCTCTTATTTTAAGTCCTGTAAAGGGTCTTTTGTGTATGAAGAACTATGTGGTCTAACATACAACAAAAAGTACTGGTCTTGATGAGGTATCAGCAAAATTTTTAAAAATAGGAGCAAGGGTTCTTAAATCACCTATCTTCAATCATTAATCAATCAATAAGTTCTGGATGTGTACCAGAGAGAAAAAAAGGGTCAAGCCTTTATTTAAAAAGGGTAGCCCACTCCAAGTAGGGAATTACAGGCCAGTGAGTATTTTAAAAATCAAAGATTTTAGAGAAAAGTGTCTATTGTCACAAGGAATTTTTTAACAATAACATGTTGTAAATTTCAAGGTCACGAGTCAAAAATCATACTGTATGCCTTATACAGATGTTGTAACATATTAGGGACAATAATATAAAGGGATTATTTACAGGAATGATAATGTTAGACCTACAAAAAGCGTTTGATACAGTGGACCATGAAACCTTTGTAACAAATTACACATATCAATTGATAATCAATGATTTAAGTCATATCTAACTGACAGGTCTCAGGTGGTGGGTTGCAGAGGTGTTGTATCTAAGTCAAAGAAAATTACTTGTGGGGTTCCGTCAAGGGAGCATTTTAGGCCCTTTATTGTTTTTATGCTATGTTAATGATATGTCCATCTATAGATACAGCAACTCCTGTAAACCATGCTGAAGGAAATTTTAAACTTTCACATAGAGACCCTAATGTTATCTCTAACAAACTTGTGAACCTTCTAGAGAAGTTTTTGAGTGGCTAACATATATAAGTTATTCTCCAGAGGAAAACAGGATCTATCCATTATATTCATATGGCAAATTAAAAAATGAAGGTCAATTTGAGGTTAAATGTCAGATCATATGCTCAAATCCAGTGAATTTTAAAAATCTAGAATCACATTGATAAATTTTAAAATGTGTTAATATTAATAACTTCGCGTTTTGGAAAATTTTTTAAAATAACATTAGCATCTGCACTAATTCAGTGCTAATATATTAGTTCATAGTATTATATTAATATATATTAACTTTTCAAAACAAAACTGTGTTTATATTAATCTGGCAACTATGTATATTGTATTTTATTCAATAAATACATCTGATGTATCTGTTGATAAAAGGTTAAATAAAATGTTTTTAACATCAATCATAGCCTAGCACCAAATTGTCTAAATGAATATTTTGAAAGGAAAAAATCTATTTGAATGGAAGTAGACACTACATTTTGCATTGTCTAGAATTTTTAGCTGATTGGTATGAAATTTATAGCCAATAGAAGTTTTAAATCTGCTGTCAAGTGTTACACAATACGAAGGTGCAATTTATATATAATATTTTTAGCATGTCTTTTTAAAATAATTTGTATTAACCTGAAATATATATATATATGTCAAATTATTTTAATGAGGAAAATTATGTAAAGATTTTATTTTTTATTTTTGCTATGCTGTCTTATAAATTTAAATTATAATCAATTGTCGATTTTATGACCCCATTGGAAATAAGCATGTTTTATATATTGCTTTCATGGGTTATCCTGGCAAAGATTGATTAAAAAGATGTTTATTTGTGTTGTATGTGTTGTTGTATAATCCTGTGATATTGATAACTGTGATATTACCTGGAGTGATATTGTTTTAATGTGATAGCTACATGTATGTGCTAGAACTTTTAAGCGATCCCTAATTAATTTTTGAATGTAATTTGTGTTATGATTTGTAATGAATTTGACTCTTTGCCTGAATAAACATAATAATAATAATTTGCCGTTACCGTTCATTTTCTTCACAGAGGTTGCACATATTGAAATGAAATTAGGTATACAAATTTATTGTAAAAATATCTAGGTCAAGTCCTGTCTTTGGTATGATTGAGCATTTTGGACAGAGTTATGCCCCTTGGACTTAGAAAAATTCCAATAGTTTGCAGTTTCTGTTCATTTTCTTCACAAAGGTTGCACATATTAAAATTAAATATTTTACACAGATTTAGTCTGAAAA